AATACAACATTTAAGTGTTTTAAGCGCCGGCCGACTTCACCCGCAAACGCCGAATTTACCTCATTTTACGGTATTGGATTAAAAATTCTATAAATTAAAATTAATGTTTGATTTTGTTAATAATTTTCAAAACTTTAAACTTACATCAATTTCAATAAAGGGTCACGAAAAGTTAAATTATTTATAATAACTTTTATTAAAAATTGTCGAAAATTTAATTTTTTAAAACAGTTTTCAGTACAAAATTCTTTAAAATTCTGTTCTTGTATAAAATTTGTAAAAAAAATTTAGTAATTCAAATTTGTAAACATTTCAATTTTAAATTTCTTAAATTTAAATTTGTTTCTAAAAATCACTACACAAAATCTTTCAAAATTCAAATATTTCTAAATTTTTTATCTAAAATTCTTTAAACGAAGTTTAAGTTGATCAACGAAGAAAGCAATCTATTTCAGTGAATATCTTGAAATTTAGACAGATAAAAAATTTTCTGTTTGCATTATTTATTTTTAAGAAACTTTATACATATATAACTATTTTAAAGATTGTAACTTAAAGTAAATAAATAAAATATATTGAAATGTATTTACCTCCTATAAAAATTAATACGGCAACACAGCATCCAACTCCACAGATTATTCGAACCTTTTTCTTTTTTTACACTTCATCACCTTTAACATGTGTCACTTCGTTTGTTTCAATTACTGACACTTTTTTATGTCGAACACAAGGTTTAAGAAACTTAGCACACGCGTAATTTATTGTGGCGAAAAAAATGAAAACAAGTTGTATACTAATGCACGCAACTAGATGCAGCTATTCGCTTATTTGGAACTGTTTGGTTTGAACCTTTGAATATGTTGCGCGCTGAGCGAAGAACGACGAAGGTAAACGAAGCGACAATGCGACATCTGTACTGTACCCATAGTAGGTAGTTAAATTTGGTGGAGAAACATACAATTATTCGTTTGGTGGATGATTACTTAACATTAGCGCTAAGGAAAAAACTGATTTCATTTTTCCTTAATGATAATAATATGTGACGCGACGCGAAGAAAGGGACCTAAGCGTCCAAACGGCAATTTCACAGGAGAGAGAAAAGAGTAGGCAAGAACGTGGCGAAGAGTTTCCGATATCTCTTACTCTCTCTTGCTTCCCACTACTATTTCAAGTTGGCGTCTGTGTGTTCGGGCGACTTCGGAAAGTAAAGAGAGATGCACCTCGTACACGTGCTTTCGTAGTGAGAGAGAACGGTGTATTCAGCGCATTTCTCTCTAAATCACGAATACCGACCCGAACTTCAAGTGACGCATGGACACAGTGAGAGGGGAGCGTACGCATGTGTGTGTGAGGAGAAAGAGAGTCAATTCTCTACACGGATCGCTCATGTTTAAATCGTTATTGCAAAAAAACTATTTGATAAAATTTATTTTTGACTTCACATAATTAAAAAGCAATCCTTAATTTATCTGAATCAATCATAATCCGAAAATCAAAAATTGGACTCTTAGGTCCCTTTCTTCGCGTCGCGTCACATATAATAATATAAAATTATATATAATATATATTAATATATAATATGTAATGTAATAATTTTATTAAATCATTAAATATACATTAAAATTAGAAACTAAAATCCGTATAAACATAGGGTTAAAAATTGCATTTTATGTTAATAATATTTAAAAAAAAACAGATTTTATCTCAATAGCGCTGTAATGTTAAGTTGCGTCGTTTAGCAAAAGACGATATTGGATTTTTCTACAACTACCTACAATAAGAGACGCATAAATTTTACATACTAAAAAACAACTCATGTTAAGTAATGGAAATTTGGTAAAATATAGGTTTTGATTGTAGTATAGCAAGGGGGGTTTTGGGGCAGGTTCTGATCTCGGCTAAGTACCTGCAGTCGGTAACTGCTCGGTCGGTAATGCAGATTTCTACTTTATCAGCAGTTTTTAAGGTTGGAATCTGACAAAAATTTCAACTCTGCCGATAAGGTGAGAAACTGTTTTACCGACCGAACATTGAAGTTAGTTTACCGACCACCCAATAGATGGCGCTCACTTCAGACTGTGTTGCCGACTTTAATTAACCTTTTAATTAAAAATAAAATTATTCACAACATGTTTTACTGAACATGGAAGTTAGTTTACCGACCACCCAATAGATGGCGCTCACTTCAGTCTGTGTTTTAAAACTTTTTTACCGAATTAGTTTACCGACCACCCAATAGATGGCGCTTACTTCAGTCTGTGTGTGGGGATCGTAGCAAGCATGGTAACGACGTTGTGTTCTCATGATAAAACTTCTCACTCGCACGGAAAGTGAGAAAGTAGATGCGCGTCGATAGAGATACGTAGTATGACTGTCGCGTGCTTTGAATGTTCAGTTGCGATTGGGACCACGCTGAGTAGACTGCTTGTGTAGCACGCCTTTTACACGTGCACAATAAATAGTTATTTTAATCCATGAACTTTTATTATAATTACCCTTTACTTGAACACGCGAGTTGTTGGGATACCTTCGAAAATAATTCCTTTTATATCTTAGCAATATTAATATTAAACATTTAAATAAATCCCACATTGGTGACCCCGACGTGATTTTCACACACGCGGGTAATCGCGTAAAATCTTGTGAATCGCGAATATTACAGCAAAGGTGAAGTGACATTAAATAATTAAAAATTTATGGGACAGAGTGTCGTGAAAAGTTTGCTGAAAAAGTGGAATTTGGACTCATAAACCCAGCATTCTCTCGAGCACATGTTAGCACATGGGGACGCCATACTGTTGTCGGCTTGGAGAGATGACGTCACATATCAGCTCACACTTCTCTGCAAAAATAAATAATTATTATATTATTTTTTAAAAAAGAATTTAAAAATTTTTTTTTTATTTTAAAAAAAATATTGCTCACCTTGCGTAAGTGTTCATTATTAATCTATTTAGCAGCTGGTCCAACCAACGAGGACGCTTGGGGGAAGCAAAATCACCCCAGAGTTCCTACGAGGGTTGCTTTCTATTTTTTTAAATATTTTTTTATCGTCAACGGACGTTATTGAGGCCAAAATTGGATCCTTTCAAGGACGAGAGGAGTATCCTGAGGCAGCTATCCTGACAAGGACTTCTAGGGAGTGCTGAAAATTTTATATTAACAAGGTTTTGGAAAACGGCGCATGGGCAAAAATATTCCTGCCCATGCAACAGGTGTGTATTGCTTTTTTACACCCTGTGGCAGTAACAGTTTTCCTCCCCCATTGATTTAAAATTTTTTTTTCATGCTTCCTGATTCACTGATGAGACTGCAAAGGAAGGTGCCGTCAATTTTTCAAGGCCTATTTCCAGAGTCGTTAGCAAAATATCCAGGAAGTCAAGTATAATTCGAGGAGAATCAAAAATAATAAATTTACGGAACAACGGTAGCAGAGGGTCATCATCAAGGACATCATTCGTTTTGTTGTCGGTTTAATGATTTGTGAGTATCAAAACAGTGGTCCCAACCTTCTCCGGTATGACCGAGTGAATGATAGTTTGTATTGAGTGTAATGAATTTCAAATTATAATTATATTTTAATTTTCATATTTTCCTTTCAAATAGAAGGAGATTTCAGCAAAGTTCAATATTGTAATCATATAGAATTGTTTTTGTATTACTCTATCTCTACTTCCATTTTTTTTTATATATTTTTTTTTCTTCACATTTTTTTATTTTTTTTTCTTTTTTTTTACAAAAAGAAAGATAATAAATTGAAATTTTTTTTCTCCCCTCGTATTACTTATTATGTCAGGAACTTTTTATTTTATTTTTTTTATCACAGGGTCCACTTGCGTATGTTGATATTTTAATTTTTGACACTTTAATAATTTTAATTTGTGAAGGATTGTTTAATTAGTGGTGCATTGCTCTTTAACATTAAATAATTTTCACACAACAATATATTGTTGATTATAATGAACTAATTGAATAATTTCAATCAGAGATATTCGCGGTTTTGGACATTTGCTAGTCCATTTAACAGTTAAAATTTTATTACTTCTGGAAATAATTAATTTTTATAGTTGGCGAAATATTACATTTTTTTAATAGACTTGTTTGTCGATAAATTATAGTTGTGTTTTTGATTTTTTTCTGCAAATCGGATATTACTGAGGCATGAGAGCGCCTTCTTATATATATATTGCAAATTAAATTGTTGTTGTTTTTCTTCTGGCAATATGGCAAACTCGCCGAGTGATGAATTCGTTACCGATGATGAGTCCGATCAAGGGGGGGGGTGACAACCCCGCCGCCGGTTTTAGACGAAATAGAAGGTTCAGACCGTTGTTAAAGTTGCCCGCTTTTTATCATAAAGAACCGGGCGTGTGGTTTGCCGAAGTCGAACTCCTTTTTGACTATTCGAGAGTTACTAGGGAAAAAGCTAAGGCTGGGGCAGTGCTGTCAGCGTTGGATTTTGAGACAGTTATGACCATAAGCGATATTGTTTCTTTATGGGAGTAAATCGTAGGAAGAACGTTCACTAACACATAAATAAATAAGTTCCAGTCACTCACAATTAATTTATTTAACTTGTTCTTTATTTAACATAATTCACCTCTATACAAACTATTAAACTCGCGTAAACTCTTCTCTGACATAGTATAATAATAAAGTTTGGAAACGGACTCGAGAAAGAAATTCTCGTCGAAATTTGACGATGGTATCATAACAGTGGCTATGACACAACTGGTTGTAGATATAATTTCAACCAAAAAGGGTGGGGATGTATAGCGAAAATTTGTACATATTACACATCATTTGATCACTCAAATTCATATAGCTTAACATACCGCCCGCCTTGCGATGTATACAGCGTAATATAAACCAAATCAAGTAGGCATACAAAAATAAATTTTTTTTTTTTGGTCACCCGTAAAGGTTTAAGGGGGGAACACCAGTTGTAACTCAAAAAATAATGCTTTTTTCAAGAATATTTTCCAAAAGAACAATGAATCTTTTTAAAGAATACTATTTATTAGTTAAAAGTACATGTAAAAAGCTGTAATTTAAAAGAAAAAAAAAATTTTTTTAACAAAAACTTTTGGAGATATGAGCCATTGAAGTGGCGTCTTAAGAAAAAAGGCGAATTGCGGTGACCAGCATTCTGCAAGTATACTTCGTCTGAAATACAAAAATGAAATTGATTTACATTTATTATAAGATTATCTAGTTCGTGATCGAAGGATTTAAAAAAAAAAAAAAATTTGACAAAATGGCGACCTGTCAAAGTCAAAAGTATGATTTTCGTTAAAAAAATACGGTCGATTTTCAGCTATATAAAAAAAAGTTTTGCATAAAAAAAAAAATCCTTCGATCACGAACTAGACTTATATGTGTAAATGAAGCACACTAAATTTTAAATAAATCGGTTTAATGGTATTCGAGTAATCGTGGTCACCGACTTGGAAAATGTCATTTTGAGAAAAACGCATTCAAAGTTTCAACTTACTTTTTTTTGTTCAGAAGAAATTTTGTTTCCAAGTTACAAAGAGTCATCGATTCTTGGACCATATAATAACTCTTCCGCAGTGGTTGCCGTTTCTAAATCATAGGAAAAGGCCATCTGTCGTTAGGGTCAGTTATGGCTGGCCACCTTGTATGAAGCCACGGGACGCGCCGATGCAGTGTTCTGTATATCTCATTTATTTTTCACCGGATCAACTTTGAAATTTACAGACACATTTCTAAATATGTGTACTTTAAGAAAATGCACAAAAAAAAAAATTGATTTTTCGAAAGTTACAACTGGTGTTCCCCCCTTAAAGACAGGCCTTCAAACAGAAATCTGACGGTAACTATTCATCGATATTTATTGGAAAAAGAGCTAATTTCGAGATAGGGCGAGTATATTCCGACGTCGCCGTTTTGACTGAAACTACACGCGTTAAACCGTCAGATCCAGGATGACAGCGTGTGATTCGACCCAGATTCCACTTAGTTGGTGGAAGATTATCGTTTCGTAGTAATACAATTTGACCAACCTTTAACGAGGTTGTTCTGTTTTGCCATTTAGTCCTATGTTGACAAGATCTAATATAATCATTTGACCATTCTCGCCAGAATTGTTCAAGGAGTTGACGCATTAGTTGCCAGCGCGACAAACGATTTTCAGGTATATTATCTAAACTCGGTCTCGGAACAGAAGTAAAATTGCGATAGACAAGAAAATGTCCCGGAGTAAGAGTGTCAAGACTTTCCACATCATCGTTAATCGGACCTATTGGTCTAGAATTCATACAAGCTTCAATGCGGCATACTAATGTTGAAAGCTCTTCAAAGGTGGGCGTATGAGCACCAAGTATTCGAATAAGATGATGTTTCATACTCTTGACACCTGCCTCCCACAAACCACCGAAATGTGGCGCTGCAGGCGGAATAAACTGCCACGCGATTCCGTCATTGGCTAGTCGCGCTTGAACACTAGGATCTGACCTCAACTCACGGAATGCCTGACGCAACTCCTTGTCCGCGCCCTGAAAATTAGTTCCCCGATCACTATGCATTTTGGAAGGCTTGTTTCGACGCGAACAGAAACGATCAAACGCGGCCAAGAATGCAGCCGTCGAATATTCGGAAACCACCTCTAAATGCACAGCCTTAGTTGCGAGACAAATAAACACCGGTATCCATGCTGGTCGTGAGCGAATACCACGACCGCCCCCCATGCGAACACTAATAGGTCCGGCGTAATCAACCCCACAATTCGTAAATGGAAAGCCCGGATTCTCAACCCTAGCTGAAGGCAGTGGACTCATGAGTTGGACCGGTATCTCGGCCTTTATTCGGGAACAGGTCACACAGTGAAAGATAATAGATTTTATCACCTTACGAGCTTGTAAAATCCAATAATTATTTCGGAGAGTACTCAATGTAAGAGTGATTCCACCATGTAAACAACGTTGATGGGCATCCAAAATAATAAGGCGTGAAATTGAATCAGCCTTCAAAATATAGGGGAATTTTGCCGCAGGATCTAAACGACTCAAGGACAGTCTCCCACCTACGCGTAAAAGTCCATCAGGATCAAGGATGGGATTGAGTCGACGAAGTTGGCTATCACATTTGAACGTTTGATCTACCTTAAGAGATTTGAAGCCATCAGAATCAGGTTCATTTTTGCAAAGAGTCTTGATCTCGTCCGGAAAATAACGAGATTGCATAAGAGAAATCCACCGAATAGATGCGAATTTAATCTCTTCAGGATCTGGAATCAATGAAACTGCACCATCCCTGATTTCTCTTCTGGATGGTAACCATCGAAGAATGAGAGCAGTCACTCGCAAGAGACGTGGCCACGAGGAAAACCGTTGGGCAATCTCGAATTCATTTTCTGAATTGATAACTAAATTTGCCACACATACCTTAGGTGTTTTTTCTTCCAAAGGAGCATCATTTGGTACTAAAGGTTCCTCCGATGGCCACGAATTGAAATCAAGCGAGAGCCACGGAGGACCTCTCCACCACAGATGATTAGAGAGAATGTCCTCGGGTTTTAATCCTCGGGTTGCCAAATCAGCGGGATTTTCAGAGCCAGGAACATGGAGCCATGTAATATCAGGAATGAGTGTATGAATCTCTGATACTCTATTGGCAACAAATGTTTTCCAATGAGATGAGGGTAATTTCAACCATGCTCTGACTATGGATGAATCAGTCCAGCAATATGATTGAAACGAATTGAATTCAGATAAGGCAAGTAGTTGTTTCATCAATCGTGCCAATAGAACTGCACCACAGAGCTCAAGACGAGGCACACTCAATTGTTTCTCAGGGGCAACCTTTGTTTTGCTTGACAGTAATGAGATTTGAACATCACCTGACCTTGATATCACACGGATATATACAACAGCTGCATATGCTGCTGTTGATGCGTCTGAAAACCCATGTAGCTCATTAACAACAGTTTCATCCCCAATTCCGATCCATCGAGGAATCTGCAATTTATCAAGTGAATTCAAAGAGCTGTAGAATTTTATCCAATAGGAGGACAAGTCTTCAGGGAGGGGGGTATCCCAATCAAGTTGATGACGCCATAAAGACTGCATGAAAATCTTTGCCAGCACAACAACAGGTGAAAGCCAACCAAGAGGATCAAATACCTTAGAAATGATAGAAAGAACTACTCTCTTGGTAATGACCTTCGTTTCTTCTTGGTGCACAGAAAAACGGTAAGTATCTGATGCTGGGTTCCAAGAAATACCCAGGATTCTCAAACTTTCATCAGGTTGTAACGACTTATCACAGGCAAGTCCATGGTTGCTCTCATCAATATCATTTAAGAGCTCGGGAGAATTACTTGCCCATTTCCTAAGATCAAGACCAGCGCGTTTGAGAAGAGCAACCAATTGATCTCGCTTTTGTTTTGCCTCCTTGATATTAGGTCCACCAAAGAGACAGTCATCTACGTATATCTGATCTTGAATGATCGGAACAGCTAAAGGGAAATCGTGACCTTCATCCAAGGCAAGTTGTTTTAATACCCTCATAGCCAGGAACGGAGCACAAGCTGTTCCATAGGTCACGGTCAACAGCTGATATTCCTGTATGATCTCTGAGGAGTCTGTTCGCCAGAAAATTCTCTGATAGTTGACGTCTCGTTCATCCATAAGTATCTGCCTGAACATTTTCTCAATGTCAGCGCAATATACAAAGGGATGAATACGCCAACGTGTTAAGAGCATAGGAAGATCTCCCTGAAGTCTGGGACCAATCATTTGAAGGTCATTCAATGATACCTGATTTGACGAAGGGCTTGAAGCATTAAAAACAACTCTAGTTTTTGTAGTGGTACTGGTAGCCTTTACTACTGGATGATGCGGAAGATAAACAATTTGAGCGGATTCATCAGAAGGAGGATCAACCAGTCTCATGTGTCCTAAAGATTCATATTCACGAAGAAAATTGTGATATGATTCCTTTTCATCAGGACGTTGAGCCAGTCTCCTTTCAATAGAGAAAAATACCTTTTGTGATCGAATACGTGTATCTCCAATGTCAAGAGGGGGTGGAGTTTTGAAAGGATATCGGACAATATACTTTCCTTCAGAATTGCGGGAATGTGTTTCGCGAAAATGCATTTCACACTTATTTTCTTCCTCTGATGGAGGCTGAAAGGACGGACCTTCTTCCACCTCCCAGAATTTTCGAAGAGCAGTTTCAAGGTTATCACTCACCTGAAGATGATGAACCTGAACTATACTCTCAGAAGTAGAAAGAGGTTTTGTTTGACCTGAAAGTATCCACCCAAATATTGTATTTTGAGCCACCGGTTCCCCAGGCCTTCCCTTACGAATCCCATCAAGAAGCGCGTAAGGATAAAGATCAACCCCGATAATCGCATGGATAGGAGTGTCATCCGTCAATCGCTCATCAGCGAAAGTAAGACCATGAAGATGGTCACAGTTGGAAATTGGATAATTGATTTTAGGTACATAAGAGGTTAATGAATCTAAAATCAAAGCTTCAGTTGAAAGAACTGTTTCATTACCGCGCGTTGCCTTTACTGAAATTGGAATGAGACGGTTAATGCGTTTAGAAGTATGGTTTCCAAGAACACTCACTTCGGCTGAAACCGGGAACGTTTTCGAGTTCAAGGCGTTTGCTAATTTCCTTGAAACGAACGTGTGGGTTGACCCTTGATCTAAAAGTGCCCTAACAGTAACAGCCCGTTGAGAGGCGGAAGAAACCACCACCCAAGCCGTAGCAAGAATGCGAGGAGACAATTGTGACCCACTCGAAAGGTGGGAAGAAGCTACTAGACTGTTATCTATTGGTTCCGAGTTTTCAGATTCAAGGCTCGTTGAAGGCTTGGTAGGCGGGTTCTCCCCCCTCTCTTCCGAGATTTCACTCTTGGTATTATAATGTAAGAGTGTGTGATGTCGCTTCTTACATTGAGAGCAGTACATCTTACTTCCGCATGCCTTTCCGCGATGAAAGCCGGTAAGACAATTTTGACACAATTTATTCTTTTTTACCAACTCTAATTTTTCCTTCACAGGTTTTGCAATAAAATTTTTACATCTGTAAATAGCATGAGCTTCAGAGCATACAAGGCACCGAGGTGGAGAGGCTTCAGAATGATGCGCTTGTACATTAGCAGATTTTGACGTAGACTGCGTGGGAGTTTTTTCTGGGAGCGCTGATGCAGCTTCAAGAGCACGAATTCGTTTACTTAAAAAATTAATAAGATCTGAAAAGAGAGGAAAGTCATCAGAATCCTCCAGATGAAACTCCCACGCTTCACGTGTTACCTTGTCGAATCGTTTAATAATCAAGAAAATTAGAATATCGTCCCATTTGTCAGTGGGACGTCCTAATAATGACATCGCTTCTATTGACTCAGTCGCAGAATCAAGCAATTTACGCAAATTTCCCGGAGTTGAATTTGAAATAGATTTAATTGCAAATAAATTTGTTAAATGGGTATTTAAAATACAGCGTTTATTTGAATAACGATTTTTTAATTTGCTCCAAGCCGTTTGAAAACCCAAAGCAGTGACCGGTACATTACTAAGTAAATTAGCTGCCTCTCCACCAAGGCAAGACTTCAAATAATGTAATTTATGCAAATCATCAAATCTTTTATCATTTATAATTAAGGATGTGAAATAGTCACTGAAGGTGACCCAATCCTTGTATGCACCTGAAAAAGTAGGTAATGAAATAGGTTGAACCTTGACTATAGACCGAGCAGCAATCTCTGTAGTCGTCTGTGGATGAACAGGCTGGATCGATGATTGATTCAAATTACCAGGTAGGCCGAATAGAATAGCCTTGGACTCCCCAACCAGATCCAAGTAGATATCTTCTATTGTCGCAAACTGCTTTTCCTTGAAATAAGGTATCAGCTTTCGATCTTCTGGAGTTGATATTTGCTTGAGAGAAATTTGAACTTCCACACACTTGGGCCATACAGCCTGAATGTTGTCCAAACGGGAAGAGAGTTTTGGAAGAGAAGTCACTACGGGATCTCTCAGTATTACCTCCATTGTATCAAAACTGCGTCGCAGGGTTTAGAAATGTTCTAGCTGCTCCACTAGAAGGTCCTCGAGGGCAGGTTCGTGGGCTGACATTTTAACTTTATTTTCAAATACTGTTTCGTCGATAGAGGAAGAGAACAAACGCGAAAAACTATCTTCAAAACTGTTTAAATTTGAGTCAGGAGAAGAATGTTTTTCACTCTTGAGTGACATTAAAGTTTCAAACAGTTAAGGCACAGGGCTCTGTGAAATGGTATAAGAGAACCAAATGACAGATAAACGTGTGAGTACTCAACAAACAGGTGTGCGTAGAGAGAGAGAGAGAGACGATGAATGATTCATTCTAAGCATCATTTATTAGATACGACGTTATTCGGCATCGTCGTATGATAAAGTATACTCTCATGACAACTAAATATTAATTCGAAAATTAAAATGTGTTATTAGGCACACTCTTCAGGCGCACTGTTTATTTTTGAACGCCTTGAAAGGAATGAGATAACCTTCCAACAACCTTTAATTAAAATGCTCACTGTCTCGTGGCTATTTCGAATAGGAAAATTTCTCAATCTTCACAGTAATTCCCATAAATAATCACAATTTGTTGAAGAACACTCACTGAGTTTGTTAAATTATTAACAATTTAAATTGTGTAGAGTATCCTGGCAGGATCGCCAATGTTTCTTTATGGGAGTAAATCGTAGGAAGAACGTTCACTAACACATAAATAAATAAGTTCCAGTCACTCACAATTAATTTATTTAACTTGTTCTTTATTTAACATAATTCACCTCTATACAAACTATTAAACTCGCGTAAACTCTTCTCTGACATAGTATAATAATAAAGTTTGGAAACGGACTCGAGAAAGAAATTCTCGTCGAAATTTGACGATGGTATCATAACAGTGGCTATGACACAACTGGTTGTAGATATAATTTCAACCAAAAAGGGTGGGGATGTATAGCGAAAATTTGTACATATTACACATCATTTGATCACTCAAATTCATATAGCTTAACAGATATCATAACACAAGAAACCCCTCCGGTAGATACTTATAGTCCAATTAAACAGCGATTAATTTCAACTTTTGTAGTATCTTCGGAATCACGTTTAAGACAGTTATTGAAAGGGGAATTGTCGGGTGAAGGAAAGCCTTCATTGATATTAAACCGAATAAAAACCTTAAGTCAGGGAAAATGCGGAGACGAAATTATAAAAACTGTCTTTGTCGATCAATTACCAGCAAGTTGCCGCGCAGCTCTCGCATTAAGCGAGGTTACCGAGATAGATAAATTGGCAGAACTGGCCAAGCTTCGTAGAAGCTTCTGGCCAAAACAGTGCACCACAGGTCGCTGCAGTCGTTTCAGAAAATTCCCACGATAAGATGATGAAGCTGATCGAAGAGTTGTCCGCCAAGGTCGACGCGATTTCCGCTCCAGGTAGATTCCGTCCAACGCAGCGCTCCGACCCCTATAAAAAAAGAAATCGAAGTAAATCGTCAAATAATAAAAGATATAATAATAACAACAATTTTAACAGAAACACAAATTTTAGAAAACAATACAATCAAAACAATGCTCGTAATGATACTGAAAACGATCGCCAATTATGTTTCTATCACGCAAAATTTGGAGATAAGGCACTTAAATGCGTACCGCCATGCGTCATGCAATCCGGTTCTTCAACGGAAAACTAATGCAGCCGCGTCAAATTAATAGTTTAAATAGTCTTTCCTTTTCAAAACGTCTACATATCAAAGACCGTAAGTCAGGGCTAGTATTTCTAATCGACACGGGTTCAGATGTGTCATTAATCCCCGTAAATTAGCGTCAAGTTTCGAAAGCTTCCCATTATGTCATTTATGCTGCGAATAATTCGCAGATAAATACATATGGTTTTAGCAAAATAAATCTTGATCTTGGTCTTAGTCGAAATTTACAGTGGGATTTTTGCATTGCATCGGTTCCATACCCTATTCTCGGCGCCGATTTCCTTTCTTATTTCGGATTATCGGTTGATTTACAGAATCGTAAATTGTTAGACGTTAATTCAGGCGATTATGCCATTTGTTTTTATAAAAAAGCTAACGTTACAGATATTAGCTCGATTGACAAGTCGTTACCTTGTTTTAATATAATACGCAAATATCCAGATATTATTGATCTAACAAAACATGATATTAAAGTTAAAAACGGTATTTTCCACCACATAGTAACAAAAGGCCCACCGGTTGCACAAAGACCGCGTAGACTTCCTCCGGACAAGTTAACAGTGGCAAAAAGCCATTTTAAAGCTTTAACCGAAGCGGGAAAATGTCGACCGTCAAGTGCAGCCTACGCCTCGCCTATCCACGATTTGCGGCGATTTTAGACTTTTAAATACTATAACGGTTCCGGATAAATTCCCTATACCTTTCTTACACGACTTCGCAATTAATTTAAATGGAAAGAGGATTTTCTCCAAACTAGATTTGCACGCGGCATATCACCAAATACCTGTGTTTCCGGAGGACATACCAAAGACAGCAGTCACGACGCCTTTCGGACTGTTCGAGTTTTTGTATATGCCATTCGGACTCAGAAATGCAGGCCAAACATTTCAGAGATATATGTTTCAAGCCCTCGGCGATTTAGACTTCACTTTTGTTTATTTAGATGATATCCTCATAGCATCCGAAAATATGAAGGAACATGAGGAACATCTTGATATAGTTTTTAATAGATTGAACGAGTATGCTTTGAAATTAAATTTAAAAAAATGTATTTTTTATCAAGATCAGATCGAATTCTTAGGACATTTATTGGATAAAAACGGTTTTCGGCCCACTCCTGAGAAAACACGCGCAATTGCGGAATTCGGTAAGCCTCGCACGATCCAGGATCTTCGCAGATTCCTGGGACTCGCAAATTTCTACCGTCGTAACGTTCCTCACGCCGCTCAATTACAGCAGCCATTAAATAAGTATTTGCACGATACGCGCAAGAACGACAAACGAGAAATTGTCTGGACCGCAGAAGCCGAGCAAGCTTTTATTGCGGTAAAAGAGGCATTGGCAAAGGCTACCCTTCTCGCTTTTCCATCCCCTAGCGCGCCTATACGTCTCGTCACGGACGCTTCTGATCTGGGAATGGGCGCGGCGTTGGAACAATACTTAAATAATTCTTGGCAACCTCTAGCTTTTTTTCGAAAAAATTTAATTCCGCTCAATTAAAGTACAGCACTTACGACCGCGAGTTAACGGCAATTTATGAGGCAGTAAAATATTTTAGATATTTTTTAGAAGGACATGAGTTTAAAATAGTCACGGATCATAAACCATTAATTTATGCTTTCCAGAAAAATGGTGAAAAAGCCTCGCCAAGACAGCAGCGACAACTTTCGTTCCTCTCTCAATTTGCTTCGGAAATAGAATATCTTCCCGGGATCGATAACGTGGTTGCTGACGCATTATCGCGAGCCGACGCGATCACTTTTTCATGCGAAATTGAACTAGCAGGGCTCTCTAAAGCTCAAGATGAAGACGAGGAATTAAAGTTGATCGTTAATGACGCAAATTCGTCATTGAAATTGAGAAGTTTGGTTTGGAATGACGTTTCTATCGTATGTGATATTTCTGGGGACAATCTCCGCCCTTACATACCACCTTCTTTCCGTAGACAAATTTTCAATTTGATGCACAATTCTGCACACCCTGGGGGCAAGATTACTGATCGTTTGATTCGAAAAAAATACGTGTGGCCGTTCATGAATCGTGATATTAAGGATTGGTGCAGGTCTTGTTTACAATGCCAACGCGCGAAAGTTACCAGACACACCATAGCATTACCTTCTCATTTTGTCGCACCTGACAGCCGGTTCCAGCATGTCCACATGGACATAATCGGTCCTCTGCCAGTATGCGACGGTTTTAAATATTGCCTAACACTAATCGACCGATTTTCTCGCTGGCCAGAGGCAATACCATTGAAAGATATTGAAGCCTCAACTGTGTGTCGCGCGTTTTTCGACGGTTGGATTGCTCGTTTCGGGTCCCCGGAAACACTTTCGACGGATTAGGGCAGCCAATTCGAGTCGCGACTGTTTAAAGCGTTATTGAACTTAACAGGATGTCATAGGATAAGGACTACTCCTTACCACCCAGCAGCGAACGGGATGATGGAGCGCTGGCACCGTACATTAAAAGCAGCAATAATGTGCCACAACAATAATAAGTGGATTTACTCCCTATCCACCGTGATGTTGGGGTTGCGTAATAATATCCTGGATTCGGGGGCGTCGCCTGCCGAATTCTTGTACGGAACCACCCTCAGAATTCCCGGCGAGTTCGTGTTGCCAGAGGATTTTTCTGCTGATCGACAGATCTTTATAGAGGAATTCAGGGAACACATGAGGAAGGTTAAACCAGTGCCAGTTGAGCACAAACATAAAAAAAAGATATTTTTTTATAAGGATTTATATAATTGCTCTCATGTCTTTGTTAAAGTCGGAACAATAAAAAAGGCACTCGAATGTCCTTATTCGGGTCCGCACAAAATAGTCAAACGTACATCCGATAGAGTTTTTGAAATAGAGATTAACGGTATAAATAAACAAATTTCTATTGAAAATTTAAAACCAGCATTTTTTTCAACTTATGAAAATTTAAGTACGAATGAAAATAGGAGCAATGTACACACTAATAACACGCAAATAGACAATCCTAAAATAAATAAAAATCAACCAAATGTTGTAGCTAATAGTAATTCGACGATGCAGAATATGCCTGCACCTTCGACTTCGCAAAGCGATACAATTGTGAATCCGAGACCAATTTTACGCACATATGTTAATAAGAAAAAAGTCTCATTCAAAAAAAACTAATGTGATAAAATGAAATTAAGACTGATATGACTGCAATTTTTTTTAGCGATATCTTTTCTTAAATTATAAATTTTGTCACTTGCAAAAAATTATTTTAACTACAAGATTTTTTTATTTTTTATACGTGTATATTGATATTTTATTATTTACATTATTTATTTAGTACTTACCTTAGTA